GCGTGAGCCGGTAAATGCCAAAGGAGGGGGCCAAGGAGAGCAGAGAGCCTGGGTCGGGTTTTTTTAGCGTCTCATCCGCAACCCGGATAATCCGCCCACAGCTAATTGAGGGTTGGCGATGCGGCTGAGCCAACCCGCCTCGAATCCATAGCAGGTTCCCCGGCACCACGGGCTCTCGGCCGGCCAGGGGGGGCCCATCGCCTGCACAACCCCCCAGCACCACTTTAGCACCCACTTTCCACCTGGGAGAAGGGTGCTGGGTGCTTTGGGGATGCAACACGCGCTTCCCCACTGCAAGGCTGTAATTTTGCAGCAGTCTGTAATTTTGCCAGAAAATACAGCGATATTAAACCTCTGCCAACCTGCCGATCATCAGCCCGGTTGGTGTTCGCTCAACACCGTGCAGCCGGTGCCGTCCCCATCGCCCTCCTCTGTGGCACAGGAGAAGATGCTTCACCCTCGGCCCTGCCCTTCCAAGGGGTTTTCCCTCTTCTGCTCCACAGAATTGGGGAAAAAAAACAGGATTCCTCTTAGGCTCTCATCCCAGATAGGAGGCAGCTTGCCATTGAGTCCAGGTCGTTTGGGTCATCAAGGGGCACAGCTAATTGCGCTCACCTTCAGCACTTCGCATCCCTGGGCATCCCTCCCTGCCAGCTCACCTGCCTCTGCCTTCGATCTCTTCTGCACCTGCGTCGGCCGTCGATCTCGTCTGCAGCTTATGGATGAGAAGTTTTCATAACTTTTCTTTAGCCAAGCTTTTCCCCTTTTTCTTGGGCTGAAAAATCACCCCGGGGAATTTTTGGCGTGATGCTGGGTCCCTGGGAGCTCCTTGGCTCTGCCACTAAATCCCCCTGCCCTGCCCTGGACCCACCCGCTGCATCCCTTTGCTGAAAAAACTCATCCCATGAAGCTCACGGGGGTTTCTGGGGTGATATTTAATTCTGAGCAGATATTTAATCTGGTCGGGTCTTGCCTGATGCCGGGGAGCAAAGGGGTGACCCATCAAATATCCAGGTCACCGAAAATACTCAAGGGGACACCGCTTGGTACCTGGGTGACCACCTGGACTGACCACAGGACCTCCTGCTGGGGATTGAAGAAAAAAAAAAAAAAAAAAAAAGGGTATTTCTCAGGTTGTATTTTGGGGTGATTTAAGGATTTTCTAAGAGCCACGAGGTGTCGGCAGCCTCAGCAGCATCTGTAGTGCCCCAGGAGCATCAAACCATCAGCGATGGGTCAGTGGAGGAAATGGGAACGCAGAGAAGGGCTGGGGAGCCCCTCGGGGCTGCAGCGGGGTCAGGGGTTGGTGTGTCCCCCCCTCCAAGGGGGTGCAGGGGCCGGATCCTGGCTCCCCGCAGCATCCTCCCGCTGCAGCCGGCCG